GGAAGTGCTCCAACTAAAGGTCGCCTAATATTGTCTTTGAAGAAATGAACACTTCTGGAACCCTTGAGGTTTCTCTACAGATGACAAAGATCAAAATAAAGGAAAACAGATGCAGGTATAAGAAAATTGCTGCTTTGAGAAAACACCACGACAGTGTAAAGGAAATCTTGATATATTAAGAATATATACATTCCTATTCCCACAGAAACATACGGCTGCGGTTTTAAAAGCCCACTCAACACATACCACAGTCTTTAAATCTCACTTTACGTCCTCTCACACTCACTCAAATTCACCTCTACACAAACACAGTCACCATAATGAATGAATATAGACTAGCATTAAGTGATTTATTGGGCTGTTATTGGCCTTTTATTAAATCCTGATTGATGGCTCTGAATACTTGGAAGTACTTTGCATGAAAGTGAGAAAATATGAAGTTGGATGTTTGAAGACACAAGCATCAAAACAAATTGAAAGTGTTGTTATGAGTCTACAAGAGCATGGATATTTTTATCATAGTTCCCAGTTCTGTTCTGGCTTCAGAGATTGCGCCACTAACTTGTAACACTGATGCTATTTCAGTCATGGTTGGCAGTGTAATGAGTGTGTCCTGCTGCCAGAGATCTTTTATTGTCCAAGCTCCAACACATACGAGTGCAGTGAGACAAAACCCAGAATCAGAATGGGAATCATGTTTTGGACGCTGACTTGAATCGTTAAAGTCATGTTGTAATCTTTGGATTTTAGTACAAACTGTTTCTGAGAAGTGAGTCGTGAGGCTCCTCGCTCTCTGCCAGAGCCTCTCTGTTGATCATTTGTTGATCTCTTTCTCGGTTTTTATCTCACTCAATCACTCCCTCCACTCACTCACTCTCGCTCTCACACACTCCATCATCCTCTTTGTTTACGTTCATATTCTCACACACATCGAATTTGTCTTTCTCTCAAGCATGGCAGACGTTTTTTTAATTAGATTCCTTTCTGTGTATGTTTAAGCCTGATCACCAAAATGCATATCAATACAAAAACAATTTCTAGAGTAATTTAACTTGTTTACAATACATGTTGTGGTGTTATGCTTATCATTTCAAGCCACAGCAGTATTAGACACTTGGAGCAAATGTTCATGCATCAGAAAATGTAGTAGAAAGAGGTAGAACGTACAAATAGGAGGGTGGTAAGAATGGATATCAAACAAATATAGGATTTCCAAAGTTGAAGTTAATGTCCGTCAGCCATTCTCCCCTTGGCATTCGCACATCTTCTTCCTGCATTTGCACTGTATATGATGGTGTTTTCTAGCCACCCATTGGTTCTTGGTGTGTGTCCAAACCACTGTAGCTTTGACGGTCTAACCATTTCTGTATTTTAAGCCAAACCAAACCATCATCTGTTCCTAAACTTAACCAGGGAAATTTGTTTGAATTTACAATGTTATCCACGTCATAGGATCTCATTATAAGACTAACTAGAACCTACTAAGACTCCCACAGAGTAGACAAACACTTTTGGACACATTTGACCAATGTTTTCCAGGACTGACAGAGCAAGCACCGGACAGATTACCTAAATTAAACTTAAAGTGGACCTATCATGCTATTTTTAGGCAATAGCATAGGTCTCAGATATATAAGAAATATATAAAAAACATGTCTATGAAGTGTTTTGCTCAAAATACCAAACAGATCACCCATTCTAGCCATGCCTCATATCCCTCTATTTCACTTCCTGTTTCAAAAGTGCTGATTTTGGGTATAAAGCTTTAAAAAAAAAAAGAGGGGGCTGAGCTCATGCGGGAGATTCTACCGGCAGATTCTGCGGTGATGAAACGCCATATCATGGATTATCAAGGATTGTCTCTGAAACAGTATGGAGCTCAAAGGCTTTCTCTCTTGCCGGTTATACCACAAGGTGAGTTTTTATTTCCTGCTTCTTCACACACATGCTCTCCAGTACAGGTTAGCTCTGAGTGTTAGCGATGCTAATGTAAACATGCACCGACCATATTACGTCCAAAACAGTCGGGCATTGTTTCTGATAGCAACGTTTCTGATAGTGCCGTGGGTGTAAAGCCAGCCTACTTTTCCGATATTACGTCATATTGGACGCAAATCTGGATCAGCTCCGTTGTAGCCCCGTTTTTAGAGATTTGGGTACGGAGGAAAAAGGAGAGGGTTTTATGTTCTGACGCTGCGTGAGTTCCCCGACACACCGGGGACACATATTTATGTATAAAAGACATCAAAAAGTGCATTTTGCATGATAGGTCCCCTTTAAACAAACACACTCACACTTATATTCATTATAAATTCAGTGGTTTGTTGAGTAGGTTTTTGGGTATAAATATCATGGATTCAAGCCTTTATGGTAAATGTATGCTTTGTCCTTAAGTGTGTATATAAAGTGTAGTAGTGGGGTGTTTTTTGTTTGTTGTGCATGTCATAAGTACCACAGTTTCACACTCGGCTCCCCCACATTGTCTCTGCATATAACATATACCCCACTAATATAAACAGCTATTCATTAGTTTATAAATACAGGTCTGCCATTTTCAGATAATCCAAATAGTTTTAAATGGACCACAAATCACCAAATCTAGAGTTATTATTGGACAGCAATAACATTTTTTGAAAAAATCTCCTGACAGCGGCCTTAACCAGCTGAAGTGATTTAACGGCACACCGATGATCTTCAGTGAGGATGTGAACGCTGACATTCAGGAATGCTAAGCAGCTCCTGATTGCTGAAATAAACAGTTTTCTTAAAGTGTACCGTTATAATGAATTACACTGCATTAATACAAAGCAGCGAGTCATTAGCAGCTCCTTTAAGTGCCTGCTAATCACATTTTTATCTTTGTTTAGCAAGGAAAGATGTGCTGAAGAATCAAGCTCTAGTTAATTACAAACAGTACAGTTACATCTGGGAGGAAAGGTATTTTTACTACAAACACTGAGGTCGTTAGCCAAAACTCCACCAGTTAATGACCACTTACCACAAAAAAATGTTTTGAAAGGAACCAAAAATGTGTAAAATGTTCTGATAATTGAAGTGTGTCTTTTTGTATTCATTAATTTCATATTTGAGTTGTATTTTTGATACCTTTTATCTTTCTAAATGATGATTTCGACTAAACTAGAGCTTAAAATGTAGTAAGTTAGTGTTATATTTCGACCTTTTGATGTATCAGGTACATACATTGCTTATTTCTGTGCATCTTCAATACACTCTGAATAGGCGAAACAAAAGGAATAAAACTTGATCAATGCAAAAAGAGTCTCTTTTGCTAATAGGTGATATTTCTTCTTTTGAAGTCAGCTATTGCCTCTCTGTCTTCATTTCTTCCAGCTTTTTATTCAATATAATATCATCCAATAGTGTGAATCTCAAGATTACCCAGTGCTCTCCTATCACACTTTATCATTGAAATGGAGGAAAGGCATATTGATTATTTTATTTAAGGTAAAAATGAAGAGCTAAATCCATGGGTTTATTAAACAATGTGACAGTTTTCAGGACCCTTTATATTCACTAACGGATACAATCACTATTCATTTAGTCCATAAGTACGTTTTATTCACATTTTACTATTGTCTTCGTTTCCCCCCCTTATTTTGGTGTTCGCGGTCAAATTTGACCGGTCCTGTTTTAACTGCTATTACATTAACACAAAAACCATTAATCATCAAATTTCATTTAACACCCATTCAAACTGTACATATTGTATCAGACTACTGGTATACATGAAAAACTGCAGTAACTATACAAAGAATAGACACTGAACATGTATTGCGTGTGCCAGGTGTGATCCATGTGGGGGGATGGGCACATAAGAGCGGGAAATGTGCAAATTGTTCTGTGTGTGTGTGTGTGTGTGTGTGTGTGTGTGTGTGTGTGTGTGTGTGTGTGTGTGTGTGTGTGTGTGTGTGTGTGTGTGTGTGTGTGTGTGTGTGTGGGTGTGGGTGTGGGTGTGGGTGTGTGTGGGTGTGGGTGTGGGTGTGTGTGTGTGTTTTATCTGATCCGGATGGTTACTAATTCCTTTTCTTTATGGCGGTCAATTTTGACCAGGAACACCATGGGTGTTACAAAGTTGACTAAATCATCCAAAATTCAATGAAAGTGGTGATCAGCAATTGTATATGTTCAAATGTCTACTGTGAAGGATATCATAAAGCCTTGATGCAATCGAATGTAAAACAAAAAAGTTATGATTGATGAAAGTATTAAATCGATCAGATTTGACCCGAAGACAACAGGAGGGTTAAGTTAAATATAACCTTCAAATCTCAACATCTTTTGGTTAAGTTTTGTTTTAACAAGTTAATTAAGGCATATGTTGTTTAAAAAAAAATATGCAATATCATGTTTTCACATTTAAAAAAATGCAGCGTGCACTTTATAATCTGATTGTTTTAACTCATTCTCTGCATTTACCTCATCAAAACAGCCAAAACGGATCTATAGATCTGACTAGATATTAAAAAATGTATTTGTCACATTCTTAATTGACTTTTTTTTGTATACTCATATTTTCACAATAGATCTTTCGGACTGATATCCTGCACATATTTTATCTCTCAGAATAATTTGCATATTGTTATTGAGCATACTTTGTAGTATTTGTATATTTTATTAGTTTTATTCAATTTAGTAATTTATGTTATAATAGTTATATATTTGCTCCCTTTCTACAACTTAACTCCTCTTACTGTGTAAATGCATGCATCCTTATACACCAAAGCACATTCCCTGTATGTATAAACCTGATTCTGTTCATATTGGGTCCGTGGAATAACAACCACATGTAGATCCCCCCAATAAAGAGACAAGTCCATCCTGTTTGAATCCTCCGCTGCGCGTTTTGACCATATTCTGTTAGAATAAAGGTTGTGACAGAGCTCAGATGTGGACACTGCCCACTCCTCGCACCAGCCTCACAGCCGGCGGGAGTTTGCGTGCGCAGTTTTCTCCCTCTCATGCGTCGCGACTCGCGAGCGCACAGAGGGCGCACGGTGTCAGTTAGCTCGCGCCTCTCGTAGCGGTCGGTCGCTGCTTCATGGTTGCGTCTCGCAGCAGGAATTTTGGGAGTGGAAATTCCGCTGTTATACTTTCACGACTCGCTTCGTATTCTGACATTTCTGCTGTGAACACAGAGAGAGAAAGAGGCGGAGAGAGAAATACGGAGTGAAATCTGGAGAGTTTATCCTCCGATGTTCCTTACGCTTGCTTTTCACTGAAAACCGGTTAACTACTGATTGCTCCTTCTTTCATTTTCCACTTGGAAGTATCGATCCTGTTTTCCCAAGGTTTGATGAAGAATCGCAAGCTGCCACTTCTGGATTTTCCCCTGTTTTGATTTTTAATCTTCCCTGCTTTTTGGATTATATTTTGTATTTAGATGGAAAATTGTCCCCTGACAGACACGGGGATTTGGTGGTGAAGCTCGCAGGATGCTGGGGAGCCTACAACAACCACATATCTTACTTTGAGACAATCTGCGCTTATTTGTGTCGCTTTTGGACGTAAACCCCCTCTGGACGTTTCCCCCCCTCCCGTTTGTCTTTATTTTCTTTGACATCATGTCTGTTTTGTACAATCTAAGGATGCGTAGTGGATTGCTATTGTTCATTTTCACCCAAGTCATCCTGGTTGCTTCGTTGACTCAGACTGGTAGGTGTTGACTGCTTGTATGAATACATGTGGCTTGACAACAGGCTGATTAATTTTGCATCATTTTGCACCATTGTTGCCTCTCACCTGTTAATGCCTGGGCTTCTCCCGGAGCACGTCTGCAGGGGATCAACTTAGTCACATAAATACTGTGTTTAGCCTACTATAATCACCCTAATAGAGGAACCATAATTAAGGATATTATAGAAAATACACCGATTGTTAGAATATTAGCGATACAAAAAGACCCTTGAAAGTACCTTACAATCAATGCAAACTGACAATGTACCATCACAGACACACCTTTGTTAAGATTTCCACATTATAGTGGAAATACAAACAAATTCTTGATGGTTTGTTCGCGCTTCATCCATTCAGAGATGAATGTTGGAGCTTTTGCGCGCGTTGCCACTGAAGCTTGATGCAGGCTGCGAGCAATTTCATAAATCATTCATTGAGAAAATTACATTTTATCATGCTGCCTGTTTGCAAGGGAAGAATAACCCAGACTTCACCTATACAGGCACAGCGTATGGCAAGGATGGCACCTTTTCTAAATGAGTATAATGGGGAGTTTTAACACCTTGTTGAGGCTTGATAGAAATCAGATTGTGTGGAGGTGCAGGATGTCAACATATGTTTGTGGATTTATGGAGATCCCAAGCTTCCTAAACCCTAAATCTGAGTGCAAATCAGTGCGTTAAATAGTCCATTTCCTTCTCCTAACTTAACTTTCTCCCCTCTCTCTCTCGCAGATAAATGCGGGGGGACTATAGAGATCCACACCCCGGACTACCTGACCTCCCCCGGATATCCAGGCGCGTACCCGCCGTCCCAGCAGTGCGTGTGGGTGATCTCAGCCCCGGAGCCCGGGCAGAAGATCCTCATCAACTTCAATCCGCATTTTGATCTGGAGGACAGAGACTGCAAGTAAGATTTCACTCCTCACTCTCTCTCTCTCTTCTCTCTTAATCTCCCACCCTTCCTTTTACTCCTCAATCCTGCCAGCGTGAAACTCTGCCACCTATTGGTCAAGGATTAAAACATCTGCTCCCAGGGAACAGGGTTTTTGAGATATGGCTCTTGACAGAAGAAATGGGGTTTGATGGGTTTTGTAATCCATACTTAATCAGGAGGCATGGCTTTGTGTCTCTGCTTGGGTTTTTTGGCAGTGCTTTTAGAGGAGAGTACATCCCAGCCAAACTCTGCGTGCATACGCTTTCTTTGTATTGATGGAGTTCAGTTTGCTCATTGCAGGAATAGAGAAATGGTGTTTACTTTTCATCTAGAGACAGGCAGAGTCTACCTGTTTGTGTTTGGAGGAGGAATAGATTTTGTGCGGCTCTTTTGTTTGCAGGAATATAACCTTGAGGATCTAATTTAGTTTTGCAAATTGTTGGAAGTGCTGCCATCAGGTTTTTGTGAGTCTGAGGATTTTGGAAACATAAGCTGAGGTTTTTTTGTCTGGAGCAATCATCTTTTCACACATTGTGCTTGTTCATCGACTTTTATATGTGAAGCAGAAGGTTTTTAAATCAATTTCCACAAAAAGAATCGCTAACAATTACCGAATTATTTTTGTTCTGCTCGTCCAACATAAAGATGATCTGCTTTTCATTGTCTTCTATGATAGTTTACTTCCTATAACATAAGATGTACTTTATTAAGCCTAAATTTGGAAATGGTTTAGTTACAGAAGCATGTACTGTATACAAGGCATTGCAAATTAAATAAAAATAAAAACAAACATATTAATAGATGCATATGAGTATCTATAGAGTGCACACAAATACAGAATAAAGTAGAATACACTATGATAGACTAACCTACAATTATAAGAATCTATCAACATAGGATATATACGTTATATAAAGTGTGCAATGTGTGGCATTTGTTCATTAAAATGGCATTAGTTTTGAGTATTTTGGTCAAACAAAATAGATTTGATATGAGTTTAGGCTCTGGAAACTTTTATTTGTGTCTTTTTCCTTCCAGACAATAAATTAATTGGATGTGCAAATTGTTATCAGATTATAATAAAAGTGAATCATATTTTTTTCCCACCACTATCAATCTTCAATATGTCTCTGCACTGGCAAGGCAGGGAGCAGTTTGGTTTTAAAATGTTCTTACGTGACATTTATTTTCCACACAGACATCACAAATCATTCCTGCACATGCTGTGTCCTGAGCATAACTCTACTAAACCTGTAAACAAACACACACACACACACACACACACACACACACACACACACACACACACACACACACACACACACACACACACACACACACACACACACACACACACACACACACACACACACACACACACACACACACACACACACACACACACACACACACACAGCCTTGTACCGCCTCTCTTTGACCCGGGAGACACACTCTCGATTGTGTGCATCCACACAGCAGCCCATGTGTTGCTCTCTTCCATAAATAAGCCTGTTTTTATGTCGGCTCCTCTGTCTTTTTTTAAAAGCTCCATAAACGGCTCCTGTGTAAATCACGGCCGGCTGCACAGCGCTGTCCCACAGATGGCTCCTCCAATACTATTGGATCACGTTTCACCACCGAGGGACTCGTAAAGCACGAGGACAGTTAGTGAATATTGTGTGTCCTTTTTTGTGGATCACGCACCTTTCTCCGTGTTGTAAGCTTTTCTCCAGGAACACCTCATTCTGCAAAGACCTTATTTTGTGTAACCCAGGGAGCAATATAAGTATGTAATAATGCAGTTTAAGTACTTAATGAAATCTAATAAATCTGTGCAATAAAACTTTAGTCAGTGGTTAGGCCCTTAGTACTCGACCAGCAGAGTATTATTGTCTGCTTAAATGACTTTTCCATAGGTTAATGCGCTGTGTTAAGGCAGTTGTAAAATAATGTGGTTTAATCATGGTTTAATGTGTGCTTAACATTTTAGTGATATCTTCTTATATCCTGTAGGAACAGATAGGCGTCTCGCATCAGACTAAGTACCAGAGGAAGGTTTTGAGCAGGGCTAAGAGGGGGTTATCTGTTACAATTACTAATTACCTGTAAAACTTACTTCATCAGGAAGTATACCTCAGGACACATTTTTTATCCTAAACATCTTGCGTTCTTTTTTTCCGGGTTACATTGTTTTGTTGTCTTACATAATACACTTAAAGGGGCCCTATTATGCAAATGCTCTGATTCATATCAGTATTTAGTGTCTCTACTTTAAAGAGTCCTCTCCTGCTGATGTTCAGGTGTATATCAGTATGTAGTGTCTCTACTTTAAAGAGTCCTCTCCTGCTGATGTCCAGGTGTATATCAGTATGTAGTGTCTCTACTTTAAAGAGTCCTCTCCTGTTGATGTTCAGGTGTATATCAGTATGTAGTGTCTCTACATGTCTCCATGCTTTAATGTTCAAAAAGCTCTTTATTTTTCTCATACTGCCTGTGCTGCAGCACCTCTTTTCACCCTCTGTCTGAAACCAGAGCCCAGTCTGCTCTGATTGGTTAGCTGGCCGGCTCTGTTGTGATTGGTCAACCAGCTTAGAGAAGTCCCGCCCCTTAGCCTATCATGTATAATGTGTTGGAGCGGTAGCCAATCGAAGCGCGATTGTTATATAGTGATGTCACTATGTTCCGGATGTAAACAAAGGAGTCAAATGGAGGATTTTAGCCTTTGCAGACCATTTACATGCTCAAACACCTATATACAGTAACACACTACAAGAAAGGAAAACCCCCCAAAAATCTTGATAAGGCCTCTTCAAGATTGACGCCCTCTTGACTGCCACAGGATTCAATCCTGTGACTGTCCGACTGCCACCTCAACATGTCATGTTTCTGTCTTCTTAGGGGTCCCCGTTTTGCTAGATTGCTTTCATTATTTGTTGTGTGAGTTTATGTTGGACGATGACGGGGTGTAGCTCATAGCTCTCTGACTTGGCAGGAGCACTGTTGTTTTTGGGAGCGAGTCAAATGTTCGAAATATGCCCATTGAGGCTGGGTGGGGGGGGGGGGTCTTAAGCCTTTGGCGAGACCGCAGCTCCACTTAAAACTGTCCTGAGATGATATTTAGGAGTTAGATTTCACTGTTTGATGCCAACGTCAGCTCTGAGATATGATCAGTCAGTGAGGATGTGACTGGAGACAGTGACGTTTTATCATTAATTGAGGTTGTTCACTCTCTGGAGACATGAGACTGCATCTGCTCTGCTGAAGTGTCCGTGAGCAAATCCTTAATCTCCATCAGTCCAAGATCTGACCTTTGACCTCTGATATCCCTGTAAACAACTTGTTGAATTGTCAATCAACAGTTTTAACAGTCAATAAATAGTTTTTTAGCCAAAATATCAAGAATGCACATACTGGAGGTCCAGCCGGTCAAATGTGAGGATTTTCTCAGTTTTTCAGTTTTACATTATTGCAAACTGAAAATCTCGTGGTTGTGTGGACTGTATGTTGGACATTACATTTAAATAACCAATACAGTAATTGGTATTTTAATCAACAATGAACATTTTTTTACAACAAACAGTCGAGAATCCCAAACAAATTCCATTAAAAATCATAAAAATTACGTTAATGACTACCAAATAATCTCAATATGTGTGAAACGTTAAATGTAATGAATTCACTGATTGTTTCTTGACTTAATTAAACAATTCTAAAGAACAACACTGTTTATTTAGCTTTTATCCAGTAACACTTTTAACAGCTTATCTTGTAGGCTTTAGTGTCTTTTGGGAAATCAAGCCAGTGGCCTTTAGGTTACCGGACAATTTAAATAACACTCTACAATATCCCACATTATTTAATTCAAACGTACTCTCATGATTGAATTGTTTTGTTGGAACGACACTCCCCCTCCTCTTCCTCATCCTCCTCCTCTTCCTCCCCCATCAGATTGCCTGTCTCTGCTTGCCCATTTCTCCCAGTCCCATAATTAAATTACTGGACCAAAATGGAACAAATGTGTTCCAGTGCTGTGAAACATGTCTGCAGTTCCCCTGCCAAACAAAAGCAGCCTGAGCACAAGCAAACGGAGGCTACATTTCCGACATCTGTGTGACAAAATATCTTCCCCTTCACCCTCATGACCCAGGCTGTAATTATGATCCCTAATTGCAGCCTTTCTTAAAAATACACATTTGTCAGCCAGTAAATGTTTTCTACTGGTGTGATTCATGAAGGAGGGAACTTTCGGGGAGTTTTTTTCTTAAATGAGGTGATCCGCCAGACAATGACAACTTAGCACTAAAATATTTAAAGGGGCCCTATTATGCTTTTAGTTTTTTTTCCCTTTCCTCTTGTGTTGTATAGATTTGTGTGCATGTAAATGGTCTGCAAAGGCTAATATCCATAAGTTGCCTCCAGAAGGAGTTTCTCTCTCTTTTGAACATTAAAGCATGTCACCGTCAAGAAACTAGCATAATATGTCCTCTTTTTTAGCTGGATTCAAGTTTTTAGGGTTAATCGTCATATGCACAATAGCTATGCCGAAAATCTTATGAATGAAAATCTAACGTCCCAAGCTCCTCCAACAGTGGAACATACAATATACTTCCGACATAAAAAAATCAAAAATAAATAATGCAAATGACAAAAACGATATATCTGTAAAGAAGACATATAAAATGAAATACTGAGTGTTGCTCCATGTTGTTAGAGAAGAAACTCAAATGTGCTGGACCATAAACTGGCCAAAAGTCCCCCAAATTACACTGCAGTATCTTTAAAGTTGAACTTTGATGTGAAATGGATTAATTTGTGGTTCCCAGGGTCGTCACAAGCTTCTGTAAAGCAGACAGTCTGGGTGATAATTTCCAACGACAACCTTTTACTTCCACACACTCTCAAGTGACACAATCCGCGCTCAGTGAACAGACGTTGGTTTAGACGAGAAGCAGTAACACTTTTTCTTCAGACGC